AGTTCCAAGCATCACACACTTCAAACCCTTGACCATAAAGCAGTGTTCTATATGCCCTTGACCCTGTTCAGTGTTTACATCTGTCAACATGTTGGTGACATTCATAAGAAATGACTCTTCAGAGCAACACTGCAAGTGAGTTGAGTCTGCTGGGTGGGACCATCAAACCATTATTCAGACTAATGTAATTTACCTGTCAGGAACACAAAGATGGTCACCAAGTTATGGATGTTATTAGCTTTACAGACAAATAAAAACTCATGACATAGTATTCTTGGAAGCAACTATTAAATACCTTCAAATTATATCTTTAGCTCTAAAGAGTATCCACAGAATTACAATAATTCAATGCGATGGTTATCTTGTTCTTGGCCCTCATGCCCAATAGTCACACCCAGACACCCGATACTACTACTCCAAAATATAGTCTGTGTTTGAGTTAGATAGTGAGATATACAGTGAGCTCCAAAAGTATTGGGACAGTGACACATTTGTTGTTGTTTTGGCTCTGTACTCGAGCACTTTTCCATATAGGGTACATTGTTTCGAATTCGAAATTACAGCACTTTTTGTAAATAGTCCCCCCCCCCCCATTTTAGGGGACCAAAGGTATTGGGACAAATTCACTTCTGAATATTTAAGTAGTCAAAAGTTTAGTATTTGGTCCCATATTCCTAGCATGCAATGATTACATCAATCTTGTTGGATGCATTTGCTGTTTGTGTTTTAGATTATTTTGTGTCCAATAGAAATGGCGCAGTGGTCGAAGGCACTGCATCGCAGTGGTTGAGGTGTCACTACAGACCCGGGTTCAATCCCAGGCACTGTCACAACCGGCCGTGACTGGGAGTCCCACAGGGCGGCGCACAATTGGCCCATTGTCGTTAGGGTTAGGGGAGGGTTTTGCCAGTGGGGCTTTACTTGGCAGGCTGGGCACCTGCAGGCTGACTTCGGTCATCAGTTGAACGGTGTTTCCTCCGACACATTGATGCAGCTGGCTTCCAGCTTAAGCAGGCGGGAGTTAACATTTACATTTTAGTCATTTAGCAGACACTCTTATCCAGAGCAACTTACAGTTAGTGAGTGCATACATTATATTTTTCATACTGGCCCCCCGTGGGAATCAAACCCACAACCCTGGCGTTGCAAACGCCATGCTCTACCAACTGAGCTACATCCCTGCCGGCCATTCCCTCCCTTACCCTGGGCCAATTGTGCACCACCCCATGGGTCTCCCGGACACGGCCAGCTACAACAGAGCCTGGATTCGAACCAGGATCTCTAGTGGCACAGCTAGCGCCGCAATGCAGTGCCTTAGACCACTGCGCCACTCGGGAGACTAAGTTAAGAAGCGCAGTTTGGCGGGTCATGTTTCGGAGGATGCATGCCTCCCGAGCGGGAGTTGCAGTGATGAGACAAGATCGAAAACAACAAATCGATGGTAAATAATGTATTGTGTCATCTTGGAGTCACTTTTATTGTAAATAAGAATAGAGTATGTTTCTGAACATTGCATCCTGTCCATGTCAGCGGATCTCCTTGTTCCCACAGCATAATTAGCATCGGTTTTCTCGACACTACACTCTTGTGGCTGAATGGAAGCAAGTCGCCACAGCAATGTTCCAGCATCTAGTGGAAAGACTTCCCAGAAGAGTGGAGGCAGGTTTAGCAGCAAAGGGGGGACCGACTCCATATTAATGCCCATGATTTTGGAATGAGATGGTTTTTTCCCCTCATCAATCTACACACAATACCCCGGTTTTTAGACATTTTTGCAAATGTATTTTTAAAAAAAGACCCTTTACTCAGTATTTTGTTGATGCACCTTTGGCAGCGAGTCTTCTTGGGTATGACTCTACAAGCTTGGCACACTCGTATTTGGGGAGTTTCTCCCATTCTTCTCTGCAGATTCTCTCAAGCTCTGTCAGGTTGGATGGGGAGTGTCGCTGCACAGCTATTTCCAGGTCTCTCCAGAGATGTTCGATTGGGTTCAAGTCCGGGCTCTGGCTGGGCCACTCAAGGACATTCAGAGACTTGTCCCGAAGCCACTTCTGCATTGTCTTGGCTGTGTGTTTAGAGTCATTGTCCCGTTGGAAGGTGAACCTTCGCCCCAGCCTGAGGTCCTGAGTGCTCTGGAGCAGGTTTTCATCAAGGATATCTCTTTACTTTGCTCCGTTCATCTTTCCCTTGATCATGACTAGTCTCCCAGTCCCTGCCGCAGAACAACATCCCCACAGCATGATGCTGCCACCACCATGCTTCACCATAGGAATGGTATTGGCCAGGTGGTAGTGGTGGAAAAAGTACCCAATTGTCATACTTGAGTAAAAGTAAAGATACGAAGCATGTGTTTAGTGAGTTCGCCAGATCAGAGGCAGTAGGGATGACTTGGGATGTTCTCTTGATATGTGTGTGAATTAGACAATTTTCCTGTCCTGCTAAGCATTCAAAATGTAACGAGTACTTTTGGGTGTCAGGGTAAATGTATGGAGTAAGAAGTACATTATTTTCTTTAGGAATGTAGTGAAGTAAAAGTAAAAGTTGTCAAAAATGTTAATAGTAAAGTAAACTACAGATACCCCAAAAAACTACTTAAGTAGTACTTCAAAATATTTTTACTTAAGTACTTTACACCACTGCCAGGTGGTGAGCGGTGCCTGGTTTCCTCCAGGCGTGACGCTTGGCATTCAGGCCAAAGAGTTCAATCTAAGTTTCATCAGACCAGTGAATCTTGTTTCTCATGGTCTGAGAGTCCTTTAAGTGCCTTTTGGCAAACTCCAAGCGGGCTGTCATGTGCCTTTTACTGAAGAGTGACTTCCGTCTGGCCACTCTAGCATAAAGCCCTGATATGTGGATGGTTGTCCTTCTGGAAGGTTCTCCCATCTCCACAGAGGAACTCTGGAGCTCTGTCAGAGTGACCATTGGGTTCTTTGTCACCTCCCTAACCAAGGCCCTTCTCCCCCGATTGCTCAGTTTGGCCGGGCGGCCAGCTCTAGGAAGAGTGTTGGTGGTTCCAAACTTCTTCCATTTAAGAATGATGGATCCCTTGACACAATCCTGTCCCGAAGCTCTACGGACAATTCCTTCGACCTTATGGCTTGGTTTTTGCTCTGACATACACTGTCAACTGTGGGACCACCTATCGTAAATTCAATAGACAGGTGTGTGCCTTTCCAAATAATGTCCAATCAATTGAATTTACGATAGGTGGACTCCAATCAAGTTGTAGAAACATCTCAAGGATGATTCATGGAAACAGGATGCAAATGGGCTCAATTTCAAGTCTCAAAGCAAAGGGTCTGAATACTTATGCAAATAAGGTATTTCTGTTTATATTTTTATAAATTTGCACAAAAATCTAAAAACCTGTTTCCAAATGCATTATTTGGAAAGGTGTGTGCCTTTCCAAATAATGTCCAATCAATTGAATTTACGATAGGTGGACTCCAATCAAGTTGTAGAAACATCTCAAGGATGATTCATGGAAACAGGATGCAAATGGGCTCAATTTCAAGTCTCAAAGCAAAGGGTCTGAATACTTATGCAAATAAGGTATTTCTGTTTATATTTTTATAAATTTGCACAAAAATCTAAAAACCTGTTTCCAAATGCTCAAGTTTGCCAAAAAAGCATCTGGAAGCACCTCTATGATCATCAAGACTTTTGGAAGATTGTTCTATGGACAGATGATTCATCACTATAACCTTCCGGCTGTGAGCTGAAGCTGAAGCGCAGCTGGGTCAGGCAGCCAGACAATGACTCAAAACACAATTTGATGTTTTGGAATGGCCAAGTCAAACTCCAGACCTAATCCCAATTGAGATGCTGTGACAGGACTTGAAACGAGCAGTTCATGCTTCAAAACCCCAAAAAGACTCTGAGTTAAAGTAGTTCTGCATGGAAGAGTGGTCCAAAATTCCTCCACAACGAAGTGAAAGACTGATCAACAACTGCAGGAAGCGTTTGGTTGGAGTCATTGTTGCTAAAGGTGGCACAACCAGTTATTGAGTGTAAGGGGGCAGTTACTTTTTCACACAGGGGAATTGGGTGTTTGTGATGGAAATGTTATTGTGTGTATGTGAACGTATGTTTATCACAATGCTGCTTTTGTAATAACATGTCTTGGTTGGGTTCATGAGTGTGACTGGTTGATTGCACACTATCACTCCCAAGCAATTTCAACATTGTTCTGGGACTAGATAAGCGAAACAAGGTCTCAGCTTTGAGAGAAAAAGCCTTGTGAGGTATCAGTCAGTCACATTTAGGAACCAACGTTAATAATGAATAATGTAAATCATTTTTGAGTCCTTAGTGGTGAATTTCCACGACATGTTGCATAACTTTTTTAATTAAATAAAATAAGTCTCCAGAAATAGCACTGTTCCCTTTATCTAATATTGGGTTTTGGTTGAAGATCTGTTAACATTCAGTATCAAAAATATGCAAAAAAATATAGAAAATCAGAAAGGGGGCAAATAGTTTTTCACGGAACTGTAAGTGTTTTCTTGACAGGTTCAATGTGAACAGTGTCTTATGAGCCCACATTGCCTTAGCCACTGTGAACAGATCATGAGTTTCGACAGTGTCAGAGGACCTGTCCCCGGTATCATTGGCCATGTACCATCCAGCCTCCTCCCAGGACCCGTATAGGACAGTCAGAGTTGTTCAGATTTACAGTAAACCATAATCAACATGAAAACACCCCTGTGTGTCAACAAGAAACATAGTGGGAAAAATGTACGTGGGCAAAACAGGGCGTGGGTAGTTGGGTAGGTGTGTGTGAGTGTGTTCTGGCGGCAGGTAGGGTGGGTAGGTACATTTGCATCATCTGACTCCAGCACCATTACATGATCCTGAATAAGTATTTGCTGATTGAGAGGAGACCGTGACTGTGCAATATCGACATGTTTGGATTTATCAAGAAGGCTGGACAGTCATTTGGTTCATAGGAAAGTGTCCCGTTCATTTCTGATCCGTGGTGTTTGATAAGTGGCAGAACTATGGAGTATCCTCTGGTGTGTGTTCTCTTCCTGGTGCTGCTCAACTTCACTACAGGTGAAGTGGACAATACACTAATTCTGGAAATATATTGATGCCTATTTGTGCTACAAGTAACAGGTTGTTAAAATGTCTCTGTTTTTAACCACTTCAGTCAAACGGTATCAAGTCAGAAAGATGGAGAATCTATTTATATTACATTGACAACCAATGTCTAGGCTCTAAACAAATACTATAGAGAGTAGGTCATTTTATAAATGTTTAGTTCAACTTGAAGGCACTGATTTTGAAACAAAAGCAAGTATTTCTGTTAAAGTGCCATAGTCGGAAGATCTGCTTAAAGATTTTTTTGTATTTTAAATAAAATATTGAGAAGACTTTTGTACTGATTAATAACATCTCAAAACATGAACTAAACTCATCAATCCATCCTTTTCTAGATGTCTCTGGCCAGCTGTTGGTTCCTTCTATGAACCCCTTAGCTCTGGGCAGCAATGTCACACTGAACCTAGTTCCCCAAAGCCCCATCATCATAGGGACCTGGTCATATGAAACTACAGTTGTCGTACTTTTCTATCCTACTGGCCTTAGTGTGCATATCAGTTATCAAGACAGAGTCTCATTTAACCGCTCCTCCTCAGAGTTGTCCATAAGCTCTCTCCAACTCAACGACTCAGGAATGTATACGATCCAGGGAATGGAGCCAGACCTGCACACAGTGGTGATATTGTCTGTCCGGGGTAAGGAAATTAACTCTGCCTGACTGTTTCTCCTTCTACGATGGTAGACTCTCACTCACACACTCACTGGCACACACAGTCATTTGCTAACACACATGCTCACCTGCACACTCACATCCAAACATGCATGCACATACATTCTCTATCAATGATTAATCTCTGTCACAATAATAAAAGGCAAAGTCATTTTCCTGACATGGAAAGCTAACACTTAAATGTGTCAGTGTATTCTGAACCTATAGTGAAGTTGGCCTTCATAATACCTTTGAAAATAATGAACCTGAACAGATCACAGAGTATGAGCAAATTTTTATTTTCAATTTCAGATAAGACGTACACAATACCTTTTATGTGTGTGCAAAGAGACTAAGGGCTCTACAGCGCTCAATCCTGTAACTTGGTCTCTATGAAAAGTAAATAAAATAAAATAGCATATTTAGAGTAATTTCCAAAACAAGTTTTACAGTGTGAAACAAAACATGGTTGGTTGTAATTCAGTAACATCACACAAAAACACTTTCTTGAGACACATCCATCTTATCTTGACTGCCATCTACTCTCTCACCCACAGAGCCCATTTCAAACGTGACTCTAAGGGCCAACGCCACTGATCTAGTGGAATTGAACGATACTGCCATTTTCACCTGCTCCGTTTCCTCTGGCACCTCCCTCTCTTACCGCTGGCTGAATGGCAGCTCAGAGGTCACAGCCAGTGACAGAGTTCGGCTTGGTGGTGGGAACAGCTCTCTCACCATAGTCAGTGTGACACGATACGATGAAGGGCCTTTTAGATGTGAGGTCAATAACGGAATCAGCAATGGCACCAGCCAGCCCATTGGCCTCAACGTTAGATGTGAGTATCAGAGTCTGCAGTACATATGAATCATACACAACAGACATGGATTCTACCTTGTCATTGAGAGCCAGCATGCCATTCAATGATGCAATATGCCTATTTTCATCCCAAACCATTCCTCTGTGTTCACATGATCCAGGTCATTATTTGCATGGATCATTAGTACACTGTGTTTAGTAGAGCAGGACAAAAACATATTCTAGGTAATGTTTACCCAACACATCATTGTTATTGGTTCCTCCCATAGACGGCCCAAGTAACCTCACCATGATGGTACTTCCTGAGATGACCATAGGACATACAGCCTACAAATCGGGCTCTGACATCACTCTGTCCTGCTCCGCTCAGTCCAAACCCGCTGTGTCCTACAAGTGGAGGTTTAATGGGGCGTTCCTAAACGAGCAAAGCCCACAGCTCAGCCTGCAGAACACCAGGGAGAACCAGACAGGAAGTTACTCCTGCTTAGCCCACAACAATGTCACACTCCGATTCGCCACCCTGACCACAATGATAAAGATCATGGGTGAGGCAACATTCATTGTTACGAAATGTCATATAGTTGGTAGTGAATATTTGATTATTGATGGTTATGAATACAATGTTATATAATTAGGCAATAAGTCCCGAGGAGGTGTGGTATATGTCCAATATACCACGGCTAAGGGCTGTTCTTATGCACAACGCAACGCAGAGTGGCGCAGTGGTCTAAGGCACTGCATCACAGTGTTAGCTGTGCCACTAGAGATCCTGGTTCGAGTCCAGGCTCTGTTGCAGCTGGCCACGACCGGGAGACCCATGGGCGGCGCACAATTGGTCCAAGGTAGGGGAGGGTTTGGCCGGCAGGAATGTGGGTTTGTTTCCCACAGGGGGCCAGTATGAAAAAAAACACGTAAGCATTCACTAACTGTAAGTCGCTCTGGATAAGAGCATCTGCTAAATGACGTAAATGTATATTGGCCGTATACCACAAACCCCTGAGGTGCCTTATTGCTATTATAAACAGTTTACCAAAGTTATTAGAGTAGTAAAAAGCAATGTTTTGTCATACACGTGGTAAACCACGGCTTTCAGCAAATTCAGGGCTCAAACCACCCAGTTTACAATGGTCTTTTTACCACCGATCGAGTGAAGTACAACACGACAAATGACTCATCCTCTTCTTTTACCCTAGAGCCGATATCAGCAGTTGCATTGAACAGTGATGGGAAGCCACCGATACTAGGTCAGTCGCTCACTCTGCGGTGTGAGGTGACTGGACCTGTAGACTACATTCACTGGCTGATGAACAGCCAGATCATCTCCCTAAACAACATAACATTCTTCTCTACGGACAACAAGACAATGGTTATCAACCCAATCCAGTTTTCTGACAGTGGAGAATATCTCTGTGAGGCCTTTAATGCTGCCAGCAACCTGACCAGCATGACATACAAGCTTGTGGTGAACTGTGAGTACTACAAGAGCTAGTAATCTTTGTCTGATAAAACCAATTCAGTGGCCTTGTAGTTAGAGTGTCTGCCCTGAGATTAGAAGGTTGGGAGTTTGATCCCTGGACGAGACATACCAACGACTGTAAGAATGGGATCCAATGTGTCTTTGCTTGGCGCTCATAATTAAGGAGATAGATTGGCGTTAAGGGCCTGTGATAGACTAGCGTCCTGTCCAGGGGATGTACATATATACATCAAGCTGCAACACGCTACAGAAACAGGAGATAGGCTCCTGCTCCTATGAGGGGTATCGACCAGAGGCTAATTACTTACTAATCTTTGTCAAAATAGTCAAACCATAAGATTAACCATACTGTCTTGTGTTTAACAGTTGGACCAGAGAGACCTGCTGTAACTAGTCCGGATATCGCGATGACAGGACACAGCGTGACCTTCAACTGCTCGGCCTCCTCTCAGCCTCTCAGCCAGTTCAGCTGGTTCTTCAATGGCTCCCAGGTGGCGACTGACTCAGTGTATGAGACTGGCCCACTGACCTTAGCCAGTTATGGGGAGTACACCTGTGTGGCCTTCAACAACATTACTGGCAGAAACAGCACTGTCTCCAAGATGCTCACCGTCATTGGTAAGACAGAAGAGACATCCAAACTGTTTAACTTGTACATGTAGATATAGGCCATTCAACATACAGTGATTGTGATGTAGTCAATATTATTGTGACCTGACGTTTTCTTCACAGACCCAGTAACCATGGCCACGGTGAAAGTCATCGGTGCCCAGCCAATAGCAGACTACATGTTTACTCTGACCTGTGAGACCGCTGGAAGCATTTACTCCATTCACTGGATGAGGAACGGCTGGCCTCTGTATGCTGACAACAGAACAGACTTCTCTATGAACAACAATACACTGACATTCAACTCTGTCCAGCATTCTGACAACGGAGACTATCAGTGTTCTGCCTACAACCCCCTGAGCAACATGACCAGCCCAGAATACAGACTGACCGTCAACTGTGAGTAGTTATTATCAAGTTCAACTTTGAACCAATGGCCTGAGGTGGAATCTTTGAGAACTTTCTTTATAAATATTGTAGTAAAGTCAATGGGAAGGTTTGGATCCCACCTCTTATACCATCTGACATATGTTGATGACCTTTGACCGTCTGGCCAATGACAGATGTTGGGTTTAACTCACGTGTCAAACTCATTCTGCAGAGGGCTGAGTGTCTGCGGGCTTTTCGATCCTCCCTTGAACTTGATTGATGTATTAAGGTCCCTTATTAGTAAGGAACTCCCCAAACCTGGTTGTCTTGGTCTTAATTGAAAGGCTCCTGTAAGTCGCTCTGGATAAGAGCGTCTGCTAAATGACTAAAATGTAAATGTAAATGTAAAGGACAAAACAAAAACCAGCAGACACTAGGGCCTCCATGGAATGAATTTGACACCCCTGGTCTAACTGATTTTCTTTGTATCATAGATGGACCGGAGATGCCTATTATAACAGGACCAGCATTAGGAGAAACAGGACACAGCGTGACCTTCAACTGCTCGGCCTCCTCTCAGCCTCTCAGCCAGTTCAGCTGGTTCTTCAATGGTTCCCAGGTGGCAACTGGCTCAGTGTATGAGACTGGCCCACTGACCTTAGCCAGTTATGGGGAGTACACCTGTGTGGCCTTCAACAACATTACTGGCAGAAACAGCACTGTCTCCAAGATGCTCACCGTCATTGGTAAGACAGAAGAAACATCCAAACTGTTTAACTTGTACATGTACAGTGAGGGAAAAAAGTATTTGATCCCCTGCTGATTTTGTACGTTTGCCCACTGACAAAGAAATGATCAGTTTATAATTTTAATGTTAGGTTTATTTGAACAGTGAGAGACAGAATAACAACAAAAAAATCCAGAATAACGCATGTCAAAAATGTTATAAATTGATTTGCATTTTCATGAGGGAAATAAGTATTTGACCCCCTCTCAATCAGAAAGATTTCTGGCTCCCAGGTGTCTTTTATACAGGTAACGAGCTGAGATTAGGAGCACACTTTTAAAGGGAGTGCTCCTAATCTCAGTTTGTTACCTGTATAAACCATGGCCAAGACCAAAGAGCTCCCCAAGGATGTCAGGGACAAGACTGTAGACCTACACAAGGCTGGAATGGGCTACAAGACCATCGCCAAGCAGCTTGGTGAGAAGCTGACAACAGTTGGTGCGATTATTCGCAAATGGAAGAAACACAAAATAACTGTCAATCTCCCTCGGCCTGGGGCTCCATGCATGATCTCACCTCGTGGAGTTGCAATGATCATGAGAACGGTGAAGAATCAGCCCAGAACTACACGGGAGGATCTTGTCAATGATCTCAAGGCAGCTGGGACCATAGTCACCAAGAAAACAATTGGTAACACACTACGCCGTGAAGGACTGAAATCCTGCAGCGCCCGCAAGGTCCACCTGCTCAAGAAAGCACATATACAGGCCAGTCTGAAGTTTGCCAATGACCATCTGAATGATTCAGAGGAAAACTGGGTGAAAGTGTTGTGGTCAGATGAGACCAAAATGGAGCTCTTTGGCATCAACTCAACTCGCCATGTTTGGAGGAGGAGGAATGCTGCCTATGACCCCAAGAACACCATCCCCACCCTCAAACATGGAGGTGGAAACATTATGCTTTGGGGGTGTCTTTCTGCTAAGGGGACAGGACAACTTCACTGCATCAAAGGGACGATGGACGGCGCCATGTACCGTCAAATCTTGGGTGAGAACCTCCTTCCCTCAGCCAGGGCATTGAAAATGGGTCTTGGATGGGTATTCCAGCATGACAATGACCCAAAACACACGGCCAAGGCAACAAAGGAGTGGCTCAAGAAGAAGCACATTAAGGTCCTGGAGTGGCCTAGCCAGTCTCCAGACCTTAATCCCATAGAAAATCTGTGGCGGGAGCTGAAGGTTCGAGTTGCCAAACGTAAGCCTCGAAACCTTAATGACTTGGAGAAGATCTGCAAAGAGGAGTGGGACAAAATCCCTCCTGAGATGTGTGCAAACCTGGTGGCCAACTACGAGAAACGTCTGACCTCTGTGATTGCCAACAAGGGTTTTGCCACCAAGTACTAAGTCATGTTTTGCAGAGGGGTCAAATACTTATTTCCCTCATTAAAATGCAAATCAATTTATAACATTTTTGACTTGCGTTTTTCTGGATTTTTATGTTGTTATTCTGTCTCTCACTGTTCAAATAAACCTACCATTAAAATTGTAGACTGATCATGTCTTTGTCAGTGGGCAAACGTACAAAATCAGCAGGGGATCAAATACTTTTTTCACTCACTGTAGATATAGGCCATTCAACATACAGTGATTGTGATTGTAGTCAATATTCTTGTGACACTGACGTTTTCTGACAGACCCAGTAACCATGGCCACGGTGAAAGTCATCGGTGCCCAGCCAATAGCAGACTACATGTTTACTCTGACCTGTGAGACCGCTGGAACCATTTACTCCATTCACTGGATGAGGAACGGCTGGCCTCTGTATGCTGACAACAGAACAGACTTCTCTATGAACAACAATACACTGACATTCAACTCTGTCCAGCATTCTGACAAAGGAGACTATCAGTGTTCTGCCTACAACCCCCTGAGCAACATGACCAGCCCAGAATACAGACTGACCGTCAACTGTGAGTAGTTATTATGGCCCAAATCCAAACTTGATATCTGCAAATGTAATTCTAATTTGACCTATAATGAGGGCAAGATGGAATTTACAGTAATGGAGTTGGGGTAAGTTTGGATCTGACTTCTGACACCAATGTATGAAAAGCCAAGGGGATGGTTGGGTATTGCTGGGGTCAAACCAAGGCAAGCACAATAATGGCATTTCCAATAGCTAATCTCATTCAATATCTTCATTATCTTGTGTTTCCCAGATGGTCCAGAGAGACCTGTTATCATGAATCCAGATATAGCGATGACAGGACACAGCGTGACCTTCAACTGCTCGGCCTCCTCTCAGCCTCTCAGCCAGTTCAGCTGGTTCTTCAATGGTTCCCAGGTGGCAACTGGCTCAGTGTATGAGACTGGCCCACTGACCTTAGCCAGTTATGGGGAGTACACCTGTGTGGCCTTCAACAACATCACTGGCAGAAACAGCACTGTCTCCAAGATGCTCACTGTTGTTGGTGAGTCAGTAACTGCTACTTAAAATCAAGGGACTAAAATTTGCTTTACTTTGTTTGTGTTCAGTTTTTTATACACAACATATGTGCTGTTGAACCTACAGTATAATAAAATGGAAGTTCAGATAAAAACTGCTGGAAACCCCTTTGATCTGTTTTCCACAGCACCTGTGACCATGAGCGTGGTGAAATTCATTGGAGCCAAGCCAATACTGAACGAGAGATTCTCTTTGACCTGTGAGACCGCTGGAACCATTTACTCCATTCACTGGATGAGGAACGGCTGGCCTCTTTATGCTGACAACAGAACAGACTTCTCTATGAACAACAATACACTGACATTCAACTCTGTCCAGCATTCTGACAACGGAGACTATCATTGTTCTGCCTCCAACCCACTCAGCAACATGACCAGCCCAGACTACAGATTGACCGTCAACTGTGAGTAGTTATTATCAAGTTCAACTTTGACCCAATGGCCTGAGGTCGAATTTTTGAGAACTTCCTATATACATTTTGTAGTAAAGTCAATGGGAAGGTTTGGATCCAACCTCTTATACCATCTGACATATGTTGGTCCTCTGTAGCTCAATTGGTAGAGCACGGCACTTGTAATGCCAGGGTAGTGGGTTCGATCCCCAGGACCACCCATACGTAAAAATGTATGCACACGTGACTGTAAGTCGCTTTGGATAAAAGCGTCTGCTAAATGGCATATTATTATTATTATCTTTGACCATCTGGCCAACGACAGATGTGGGGTTTAACTCACGTGTCAAACTCATTCCGCAGAGGGCCGAGTGTCAGCGGGTTTTTCGATCTTCCCTTGAACTTGATTGATGTATTAAGGTCCCTTATTAGTAAGGAACTCCCCAAACCTGGTTGTCTTGGTCTTAATTGAAAGGACAAAACAAAAACCAGCAGACACTAGGGCCTCCATGGAATGAATTTGACACCCCTGGTCTAACTGATTGTCTTTTGTATCATAGATGGACCGGAGATGCCTATTATAACAGGACCAGCATTAGGAGAAACAGGACACAGCGTGACCTTCAACTGCTCGGCCTCCTCTCACCCTCTCAGCCAGTTCAGCTGGTTCTTCAATGGCTCCCAGGTGGCGACTGGCTCAGTGTATGAGACTGGCCCACTGACCTTAGCCAGTCATGGGGCGTACACCTGTGTGGCCTTCAACAATATCACTGGCAGAAACAACACTGTCTCCAAGATGCTCACCGTCATTGGTAAGTCAGACTACAGATTATTTGCTTTGTTGTGTTAATTTACGATCTGATAAGAAGACTAATATCTCAATATACACTGAGTATACTAAATATTAGGAACACCTTCCTAATATTGAGTTTCCCTCAGAACAGACTCAATTCGTCGGGGCTTGGACTCTACAAGGTTTCGAAAGCATTCCACGGGGATGCTGGCCCATGTTGACTCCAGTGCTTCCAATAAAAAGCATGAGCTGGTGCACACCCAGAGAAAATTATTATGTGTAGAGGTGCTGACTAACAGCAAATAAACTGTAAGCTGTAAAAATAAATAAAGAGTCGCACACTCTATAGTAATTTATTGGGTAAACCACCAAAGTTTCGGCATCATTGTGCCTCCTGAAGAAGGCACAGTGATGCCGAAACGTTGGGGGTTTACCCAACAAATTACTGGAAGTTTATATATAGAGAGTGTGAGACTCTCTTTATTTATTTTTATGACTCCAATGCTTCCCACAGTTGTGTAAAGTTGGCTGAATGTCCTTTGGGTGGTGGACCATTCTTGATACACACGGGAAACTGTTGAGGGTGGAAAAACCCAGCAGCGTTGCAGTTCTTGACACAAACCAGTGCGCTTGGCAACTACTATCATACCCCATTCAAAGGCACTTCAATCTTTTGTCTTTGCCATTCACCCTCTAAATAGCACACATACATAATCCATGTCTCAATGACCAGCCCAGAATACAGATTGATCCTCAACTGTGAGTAGTTATTATGGTCCAAAACCAAACTTGATATCTGCAAATGTAATTCTAATTTTGACCTATGAGGGCAAGATGGAATTTATAGTAATGGAGTTGGGGTAAGTTTGGATCTGACTTCTGACACCAATGTATGAAAAGCCAAGGGGATGGATGGGTATTGCTGGGGTCAAAACTTTTGTCATTGCCATTCACCATCTAAATAGCACACATTCATCATCCATGTCTCAAGGTGTAAAAATCCTTCTTTAACCTGTCTCCTCCCCTTCATCTACACTAATTGAAGTGGATCTAACAAGTGACATCAATAACGGATCATAGCTTTCTCCTGGATTCACTTGGTCAGTAATGACGGGCCTTGTAGCTCATGGAAAGAGCAGGTGGTCTTAATGTTTTGTAACTCAGTGTACAATAAACATATTTATCATACAAAAGAGCCAAAACTCAGTCACATTTCAAATGTTTACTCAGTGAAGATGTACAGCTGAATACAGATACTGAACAAAAATATAAACCCAACATGTAAAGTGTTGGTCCCATGTTTCATGAGCTGAAATAAAAGATCCCAGCAATTGTCCTTATGCACAAAAAGTGTATTTCTCTCAAATTCTGTGCACAAATTTGTTTACATCACTGTTAGTGAGCATTTCTTCTTTGCCAAGATAATCCATCCACCTGACAGGTGTGGCATATCAAGAAGCTGATGAAACAGCATGATCATTACAAAGGTGCACCTTGTGCTGGGAACAATAAAAGGCCACTCTAAAACGTGCAGTTTTGTCACACAACACAATGCCACAGATCTCTCAAGTTTTGAGGGAGCGTGCAATTGACATGCTGACTGCAGGAATGTCCACCAGAGCTGTTGCCAGAGAATTGAATGTTCATTTCTCTACTATAAGCCCCCTCCAACATCATTTTAGAGAATTTGGCAATACGTCCAAATGGCCTCACAACCGCAGACCACGTGTAACCACGCCAGCCCAGGACCTCCACATCTGGCTTCTTCACCTGCAGGATTGTCTGAGACCAGCCACCTGGACAGCTAATGAAACGGAGGAGTATTTCTGTCTGTAATAAAGCCCTTGTGTGGGGAAAAGCTCATTCTGATTGGCTGGGCTTGGCTCCCCAGTGGGGAGCTTATCCATAGATAAGGCCCTAATGAATTTACTTCAATTGACTGATTTCCTTACATGAACTGTAACCCAGTACAATTGTTGAAATTCTTGCATGTTGCATTTATAATTTTGTTCAGTATTGTTATGATGAGTTTCTCGGGTATGAAAGAATCAAGGATGCAAGGATATACTTAGACACTTTGTAGATAGTTAATGCAAATATTTAATGATTGGTACCGGGTTCGTTACAACAATGACCAGAGCTTTGCCCTTGGTGTTACGAACTCACTTGAACAAAGGAAACACTTTACCTTATATACCTTCTATTACCCTCTTCCTGGCATACATCTGGTAAGTCTCCATGGGCACTCCCTGTCTTTGATGTTCATCACTCTTTACCCCAAGTCACTATCCTGCCCATCACTCAAGCTATCCTAAACATCACTAATCTACCTTGACATAAGGAATGTAGAATTCATGACCCCAAACCACTTATCTCGTAACTCTACCCTCACAATACTATGACATGACATCATTACAAGTATACATTCAATACAGTGCAGTGTCCACTTATACCCTTAGCTCTCACCCCCTCCTTCCACAAAGATGTACTTTTCCATCACCCAGGATTTATATGTGCTCCTCCATGCCTATCACAGGACTTCTCATCAGTCAGGAGAGGCCTTGGGAGTATACATTCCTACAGCACACTGCAGTCCACTAAATAATTAAACTCTTCTCATACACAGAGTTTGAACCTAACACTACCTTCAACCTATAAACACATAAAAACAATCTACAGTGCCTTGCAAAAGTATTCATCCCCCTTGGCGTTTTTCCTATTTTGTTGCATTACAACCTGTAATTTAAATTGATTTTTATTTGGATTTCATGTGATGGACATACACAAAATAGTCCAAATTGGTGAAGTGAAATGAAAAAAATAAAGTGTAAATTTTTTTTCTAAAGAATACAGAATGGAAAAGTGGTGCGTGCATATGTATTCACCCCCTTTGCTATGAAGTCCCTAAATAAGATCTGGTGCAACCAATTACCTTCAGAAGTCACATAATTAGTTAAATAAAGTCCACCTGTGTGCAATCTAAGTGTCACATGATCTGTTACATGATCTCAGTATATATACACCTGTTCTGAAAGGCCCCAGAGTCTGCAACACCACTAATCAAGGGGCACCACCAAGCAAGCGGCACCATGAAGACCAAGGAGCTCTCCAAACAGGTCAGGGACAAAGTTGTGGAGAAGTACAGATCAGGGTTGGGTTATAAAAAAAATATCTGAAACTTTGAACATCCCACGGAGTACCATTAAATCCATTATTAAAAAATTGAAAGAATATGGCACCACAACAAACCTGCCAAGAGTGGGCCGCCCACCAAAACTGACGGACCAGGCAAGGAGGGCATTAATCTGTGAGGCAACAAAGAGACCAAAGATAACCCTGAAGAGCTGCAAAGCTCCACAGCGAAGATTGGAGTATCTGTCCATATGACCACTTTAAGCCGTACACTCCACAGAGCTGGGCTTTACGAAAGAGTGGCCAGAAAAAAGCCATTGCTTAAAGAAAACAATAAGAAAACACGTTTGGTGTTCACCAAAAGGCATGTGGGAGACTCCCCAAACATATGGAAGAAGGTACTCTGGTAAAATTGAGCTTTTTTGGCATCAAGGAAACTCTATGTCTGGCGCAAACCCAACACCTCTCATCACCCCGAGAACACCATCAGTGAAGCATGGTTGTGGCAGCATCATGCTGTGGGGATGCTGTGAATAGTTATGCACGCTCAAGTTCTCAGTTTTTTTGTCTTATTTCTTGTTTGTTTCACAAAAAAAGTATTTTGCATCTTCAAAGTGGTAGACATGTTGTGTAAATCAAATGATACAAACCCCCAAAAAATCTATTTTACTTCCAGATTGTAAGGCAATAAAATAGGAAAAATACCAAGGGAGGTGAATACTTTTGGAAGCCACTGTATTCATACCGAGAGTATATAATGATAATAAAAATAAAATATATAAACCAGAAATATAAAACAGTATTTTACAATCAATCAGATCGTACAACCATTTGTTTTATATATATATATATATATATATATATATATATATTATATATATACAGTACCAGTCAAAAGTTTGGGCACACCTACTCATTCAAGGGTTTTTCTTTATTTATACTATTTTCTACATTGTATAGTAGAATAATAGTGAAGACATCAAAACTATGAAATAACACATATGTAGTGTATATGTTTTATACATCCAACTATTGCATCGCTGGAACTAACCATTTTATCAAATGACAAATATTGATACTGTACATAAAGCAATACACATCCTCTCTCCTCACAGAGGCTATAAAGTCAGTGATGGTGAAACGAAGCAAAATACCGATAGCATCTGACAACCTAACCCTGACCTGTGATGTCACCGGGCGCTATGACATCATCTACTGGATGAAGGACAACCTGCCTCTGGTCCTGAACAACACCTTGAACTCTGACATCACCATCTCCAACAACTCTCTGCACTTCAGTCCAGTCAAGGTGTCTAACGATGGACACTATCAGTGCGTCGCCACCAACCTCCTTCGTCCACACACCAGCCCTAAATACCAGCTATTGGTGAACTGTAAGTACTGGCATTTTAATCTGTTGGTAAAATATTTTAAAATATAAAAATGTTATGTTATTTAATGTAGAAACAGTCAGAAACCCACCACTATTATATTATGACGGTTAGTGCTATCTGTGATCCTTGGGACTTCCCTACCCTAAACCCTAACCTTAACCATAAGTCTTACCTAACCCTAACCTTAACCCTTACCTTAACCATTTTACATTTCAACTTCAATGGGGGGACGTCAGTGTTGGACGTCCCAAGGATTCCATTTAGACTTTTCCCTATTATGACCCACCCTCTCTGAACCTCTCTCTGTAGATGGCCCTCTGAGTGTGAACATCTCTGGCCCAGGCTTAGTGGTAATTGGCTCAGTAATCACTGTCAATCTGAAGTGCTCAGCCGACTCCCGGCCAACCAGCGAGTACCGGTGGAAATACAACAACCAATCATTGCCGGCAACTGGTCCTTTGATGGCCGTAGGTGTCTCCTTGAAAAATGCAGGGATATACACCTGTGTGGCCAAGAACCCTCTGACTAACATCTCAATGTCCAAGACCATTAGTCTGGATATCACTGGTAAGTGGGTGGATTGTTGTACTAAGACCGAGGTGGAAAGTACTGAGTAATTAAATGTGACAAAGTTGTTTTTAATATGTTGAATTTAATTTGGTTCTAGTTTGCGTACTTGTTTGTGCAAGGATCATTTTCATGCATCAGGGAAATGCAATAAAGACATTTTCTGAACTGGGGAGTACAGACAGGAATCAAGAAGATATATACACTGTATATATATTTTTGAACATCCTCACTCACTCATTATATTTCTCCTCCCCTGCCTCCCCTCCTCTCCCATTCTCCTTTCTCTCCCAGGCCACTCTCCTGCCCCTCCATTCCAGTCCAGAGTTGGTCTGATGCTGATGGCCCTGCTAGCTCTCTCTCTCTGCCTCTGATCAACCACTGAGACCATCACAGTATGGACACTGCTTGTCTGTCTGCTGGCTGGGAGCCAATCACTCCCTTCCCTCTACCCTCACTGACCTGAGAAAGGACTGGATAGGAATAAGTGGTATTGTCGATATTATGATTGCCCCATCTTGCCACCATAGGGCTGGGTTTAGTATGCTCAGCTCCTTTCCAATGTTTTTAGGTTGTGAGGAGAGAGTCAACAAGAGGTCAGAAGGAGAGGGTCCTAATACCCCTTAGAATGTCAATTTTATGAAATTATCTGT